ACAAATCCAACAAATCAAAAACCATGAAAATTGGTCCAGCAGATCTCGAGTTATAAGTGTAGGAACACTTTTACACAACTCTCTTTTATATATATAGATTGCATGTTTTATCAAAATATCCCGATTAAATTGCTCCAAATTGCTAATTCTTTATAGAGCCTCCGCTAAAATAATAAAAATACATTTTCTTTTTTAGAGCCTAACCCTATCCAAAGCACAGGCAATGGAATATTGTGCAATAAGCTGTCTCGATTGACTTTGGCCACCTTTGATGAAGAAGGCCGCTGTATTGGGCAAATGGGATCATTATCTATAAGCTATTAACATTTGTTGATATTTATATAAATTAAATTATTAAACTTAAGTGAATTTTTAATTCACATCTACGTCTACATATGTATGAATATTAAATTTAGAAATATATTTGTATATATATTTTGTAGATACTTGTAAATAGATCAAAGTTTTAAGATATATGAACTGAAGCGTAACCGGAAATTTTATTTTACTTGATTTGCATTTTAATAAATTTTGAAATACAATATTTTTCATATCCATTATTCCATAATATTTATGTAATTTTTGTATATATCATATAAATTATTTAATTTATTTAATATTTTCAAATAATTAAAAAATTGTTATTTTCTTTGATTAAACGGTAGACTAGAAGTGAACGCTGTTAATACAATTATGATTAAATAACAATTTGTAATTACTGATGCCTGTAAGCATTTAATAAATTAAACTTATAGTTCTTAAACAATCTCAGATATTTTGATTTTACATTTTCCAGCGTCCCAAAGGCGGGAAACCAGAAGTGTTTATATGTACGATCTATCTGATTTATTTTTGTTAGCTGTACTTAACTGTAAAAAGCTAAAATTTATAAAATTATGTATCCAGCGTCCATTTGATAACGAAGGAGGTAAGTTTGAATAATATACTAATAAATATAGAATACCTCCGCTAGGTTTCTTTTAGTTCGCATTCCGTTTTAATTATGTAGTTATTGGTCCACATGAATAAGCACAAATATGTAATAATGTAAACTTTATAAACTTCTGTGAAGCCAATGTTTTTTTTTTGTTCCATTAACATTTGCTGGATTATCATATAGTTTAGTCTACTTCCCTGGATAAAAATATGTATATGAAAGTAGTTTATTTTTATTTTTTGTTGCTCTGCCGAAATCAATAATTATATTATGTAATTTGTAATTTGACTGTTGCGAAATTGCCTAAAAACCTTTAATTATTTACTCTCTACCAAGTCTATCAGATAGTTTTTAAATTCTATCATTTTCTATCTCTAAATTAATTTTGCCTCCGATACCACTTGACGATGAATTTATTAGATGTGCACTATCGATAACTCTTCGAGATAGTCGTATGTATATCCTGAGGTAAAAGTATACCAATTCTAGTATTTTTACTTTTCGCGCATTTAGTATATTTACACTGACCAAACAACACATAGACTAGACATGTAGTACAAAGTTTTTCAACACCGAAAAATCTGCCTCTTAGGTCCTATCACTGACCACTGTTTGGTCAGTGATATTTACTTGCAGTAGAAAAGCGCTTTATTCATTTAAAATTAAGTCATCATATTTTGGGAAAATGTTATACACTATAAACTGTTTATTTTTTAACAAGCATTAATAACTATAACTTTCTCTTAATAAATCAATATTGTTTTTTAAAACGGTTAAAAACGGATGGGATGTTTTATACATAAACTACTAAGCCTTTTAGCAGTGACATAACCTTCAGTGTTAATTAACATTATTAGAAGAGAGCAGTTCCGTTACTTTTTATTTAAACTAAGATTTCTTAAAAAAAATCAAGCAATTTGTATATTGCTATCTATTTTAAAACCAGTAGACAAAACAAAACGTGCAAAGCGGCTAAGTAACATTTTTAAGCCTTCTAACAGTTTTATAGCCTAAAGGAGCAAGTATGAATTTTGGAAATTTAATAACAGTTGTGTTGAGAGACTAAATTAACGGTTTGCCCTGTTATTAGTTAATGACAATATAAAGGTTTAGTCGCTTTTAAATTTAAATTGACAAGAACAGATTCAAGTGTTTGCGTCTATTCTATCGACGGAAATGCAGACACCTGGAATAATTTATAGTGCCGGAGATATTAAATGCATTATATTGCGAATGCAAAGTTTGAATCGGCTACCGCTGCAATGGATTCGGGATGCCAGAGGTTTTGTAATTTGCACAATTTACATAACAAAGCAAAATTAATTAACGTAAGTGGGTATTGAGAGTCTGCGGGTATTACCGATCTGCCATTGTCAACAGAAGAGCGTATGCCATCTTTGTGAACCCCTTCTGTAGAAGGGATAGAGTAAATGCTTTATTAATAAATGATGCCATTAATCAAACGCATGACTTGAGTGCGAATCCAACCTTGGACCAACGGTCAGTAAAGGTATTTGCAAGGGTTAGATTTGAAAAAGACCATCGCATGACACCTAAAACTTAACAGCGTAATTATCATTTATAAACATTTACGTATTATACGATATTATATTTTTTTTTATTTCCAAATATCAATCTCCAAAATTGCTCATAAATCTCAAAAAGTACACTGTTTTAAAGTGTGAGGTAAGAGGTACAATTTTGAAAATAAATTGAGAAAATTGCAAAAATATATCCTGCTACACAAGACATTTTCTAATAAAGAATGCCATGAAACGTACAAGGAAAATAATTTAAATAAAAATTCGTGTTTTAAGGGGTTGGGTTTTGGACCAATGAGTATGGACTATGCTTTCACGATTGGAAACCAGTTTTTTTTATTCGTTCTATTTTGCTTTGTCGACAAAAGGATATAACGTCTATTAAAATTTCAAATGACTTGTAGTTTTAGCTGCACTGCAGCTTCCGCTGATAGATGGGTCATACATACATGCACAGTTATACCTAGGAATATGCAGTGTGCATGTGTGGCATATGAAATTCAAAACCCGTTTACCTTTTGTCCAAAAGCTGCACAGCGTCCGGCGTTAAATCTTCTGTGCCTGCGCGGCTCCGCAGCAGCAACAATAACAACAACAGCATCAGCAACCTAACTGAAATTAGAAAGGATTTGTTTGGTCAACTCAAATTTGAGTATGCATAACCCTAAAGGGGTGCGTAAAGTTGACAAACGTAACAAGCATGCGCGGATGCTGATGATGCGGATGCTGTCCAGGGGTCGATCCTAGCCATCGTCCAGAGGACCATGGCCCGCCATTCTCAGGTTCATATGTAATTCAATCAGGGGTAGCAGAAGGGTTGCAGTTATAACTTTATAATTTTGGGTCATCGTTTTTGCTCTGCACCCAAATTTAGCATCAAACTATTTTCTCAGTACCGTATTTTTCCCTTAAATTTATATTTTGTAATCGTCAAAGCAACGCGTTGCAACCAACGGTCATGTATCATGTCTAAAAGATTAATAACATTGTCTTAATATAATTTTTGTATAAATGCTTTGCTCGTGATTTGAGATTTTATGAACATTACTTCTCATCTTTTCGCATTTTAAAATGATAATTGTTAGGCTTTTGTTAAGTATTTATTGTATGTCTGTATAAATTAAAATCATTTAACCGCTATTAAAGTTAGAGGATATTTTGGATTTTGAATATATAGTCGTATGTACTCCCATCTAATAGTCATGATTGTCCGGATTCGTCCACAAGTGGCAATGATATATTTATATGTAGACATTAGCTGACCTAGCAAACGTTGCTTTTCCATGCCCATTATTTCTAGGGAATATTTTATACTTAAATACAAAATAAATAATTTACTATAGGTACAGTTATAGTCGAAAGCGTTGTAAACAACCGAAGTATGCTTTATCCCGATTGGTTCATTTTTAAATTTAAGTGCATGTCAGCGCGGGCATTCCTTGTCCAATGTATCAATGACCACTTCGGAATGAGCGTAATATTCAACATCATACTGAAATACTAGGCGAAGAATGAATGTGATGTGAATGCTCGAAATACTTGTTGACATTGGCGGTCAATTCCTTTACGTCTGTTGACTACGAATCCGCACGATTTTCTTCGTTCTAATTGCTTTGCTGGTTTCGCTGAAGGACATTTACATCTTTGTGCTCTGCTATCATGTATGCCTCTACATTTAGTTTTCGACGACTCAATTAGCCTTTTGCGTTTTCGTGGCATTGTTGTCTGCTTATCGAACATAAATAAATTAAGTTAAAAACTGTTGGTAAATAGTGACGTAATATTGTATTCGATATTTATTATTCACGTTCTCGTATTAATAAAATGTGCATAAATATTTGTTTAACATGAGAGCATGACCGAAAACTGTCACTTTTATTGTTTATGTTTTGCACTGGAAATATGAATATTTTTGATTCTTACAAATAGTGGCAACCAAATTAGAAAATAAATGAAATCGTTTTGAATACTATAAATGCTTTACATATATCAACGAAAGTTTAAAAACAATTTAAAATGTAAAAAGTAAATAAAGGAATAATAAAAGAAAATAATATACATTTTTGAACATTTTATTACAGATAAATTACAGAAGACAAAAGCGTGTTTTGTAGTTCCTAGTTCTTAGTCGAAAACATTTGGCTGCTCTTAGCTCATTAATCTGTATTACTATTGCCTCTCAAAGGCCATAAATTTAGGCGTAATGCGACATTGACCCGCGAAACCTGGTCAGGGCCAGGGGTCTCGATAAGCTGGTGATTGCATTCAGCAGTTCAAATAGCAAAACAAAGAGCAAAGAAAACCCCAGGACGATCTATGACCAACCCCGCGCCGGTTCAATGAAAAATCAATTCAATTTTGAGGAAAAAAATCATTAAATTCGTCACAAAAAAAGGAAAAGTGGAAGAAAAAAAATACTTGTGCAAGGGTTGCCAAAGGCCTTCAAGGCATTCAGTGAGCAGAAGGTTCCTTATTGTTTGCATTTCACCTCTGTGAGTAATTTACTGTGAACCCGATCAGGATGAAGAACGAGCACCAAGGATCAGGCATCTAGGATCAAGCATTGCAAATGATGACTATCTGTGTCTGTGTGTGCATGTGTATGTGCAAAAGTGACATCATAAGACGTGACATATTTGAGCCCAGACCCAAACCTTTTTGCTCTTGCCATTTTATTTGCACCCTTTGATACCTGGACGATTCTATTTTGTTGGGTTATTTGATCGCCTGTAAATTTTTGCACGGTGGGAACTTT